ATATATATATATATGATCAGTAAGAATAGAGCTCACAGACAGAAATAAACAAAACACAGGCTGATGTCTTATGATGCATACAGACACAATTGATAACCAGAAGTAAACGTGAAAAAAAAAAAGATTAAATAGGCCATGAAAAGTTGAGACTTAGTGAGGCATTTAGATGTAGCTTAGCCAGTTCATCACACTTCAACCACTTTATTATCCTTCTCGGAAAATACAGTAACATGGAAACTGATAGGTCACATGAAGTTAAGGCAGTGCCACTGTATCACAAAACTTACATTTGGGCTTCAAAGTGCAGAAAAACAACAGCAAAAAATAAATAAATAAAAATAAAAATCTAATCAGTTGTACATACAAGTAAATCTTAGACTCATCTGCTGCCGCAGTATCAATCTGATGTTTTTTTCTGCTCTTCAGAAAAACTTTTATGATCTGCTAAAACGTAACTTCATGCATGTAGATTTTCTTTTATTATTATTGTTTTAAATGCATCAGACAAAAGCCTGTAAAATTGGGTATTTAATGTGTGCTTTCCTACAAGGGCACTGAGATGAGTACAGCATTTGCAATTGAAATGAGGGGCACAATTCAGGGGGCCATAGGGAGTTGATGGCACCCCACCTGGATGCTTAGACTTCCAAAGGGCACACTTAATGAATTCCCAGCGCCACTGTGTACGAACCACACGCTGATGACAGGTAGTCATTTATTAAAAAGCAGCTATTTGGCTGTGTGTGTATAAAGAATGTGCGTGTGTAAGGAGGACAGGTATTTTTAGGATGAGGGATCAAAAAGTTATTTTCCTTTGATTTAGCGAGACACATTCTGACACACAAACTTGATTATTTTGGGAGCTCAGTGTCTCTTACGTTTGACAAAAAGGATAAGAACAGCTCTGTTTTAGGTGTTATTAGGTCTTTTATATTGTAATGAACAATCTTGTGGAAACAAATGAATGCACCATTAACTGTGAAAAATTATCACATTTAACCACAATAAGGTGTTGGAAAAATATTTAGAGTTCATTAACTGAAATCGTGACAAAACCACATGAATGTTGAATAGATTAAAATGTGAAGGGAAGAACCATACAACACCAGTGACTGGAGTGAACGATGGTTTAATACTCTCTGTCCAGACATGAAACAAACGCTGAATGAAAACCGGAAGTCCCGGTCTATAAATACATGGTTCTTCAGTGCCTGGTACGCCCACTACAGGCCTACGGCTGAATCGCAGACACTCGTACCGACATCCTCTCCACATGTTTGATTAATGGTTTTTCTATGTGTTGTGATGTTGTTTCTGGCATGTATCTAAACCTATATTAATCAAGACATAACAATAGTCAAACAATAGATTATAAGAATCAATACTTAAAAATGAAAATTATGAATATGGTGTGGTGCTTTTAAAATCAGTTTCTAAATGACTAAATAAATTTCTTCAAAGGTTAGGAATCTGGGCATCAWCCATCTCCTTCCATCCCTCATCCAACAGTACTGCTATTCTGGTTCACTCTTTGGTTGATAGATTTTTTGACTTTTAACTCCCTTCTTTTTGCTTTTTCTGCAAAATACATCTATAAACTCCAACTGGTCCAAAACTCAGCTGCTTGTATCATTTCCAGAACCCATTCCACCAGTCATATAACTCCTGTCCTGCAGCACCTTCACTGGCTCCCCATCAAATTTCGCATCTCCAAAAAAAAAATCCTGCTCCTCACCATCAAAGCTCYCCAGCATCTCACAGAACTTCTCCACATGAACACACCCACCTACACTCTCAGGTCCTCCTCCTCTTCCACCCAACTCAACCAAGAGCTCACCTGACCACTGTGGGCTCAAGAGCTTTCAGCCACTCAGCTCCCCATGTCTGGAATGCTCTCCCCATGGACATTAAAAACTCTCCCACCATCTCCATTTTTATAGTCCTTTGATCAGTGATAGCATGATAGCTACACTTGGCAGACAGCAGAAGAAACATTGAGGCTACAAAATGAGATGGGATCTTTTTTATGATTGATTTTTGTAGCAAATTTAGACTTCTGAAACAATTGTCAGCCTGACAGTTGTAAACTGATCTAATACAACCTGACAGTGTCAGGTTGTATTAGATCAGTTCATGGGTTACTTTAAAATATACTTAGCAACAGCAGTTAAAATAATCAGATGAGGAAAAACACTTGGCAGGGAGGATAAATGCTTGTAGTGTGAATGCAGTGAGAAGAAAAAAGGAACCATATGGTGCATTATGGTTGACTGTGTAACTGTT